ATTGCCTCGGCCGGGAGTCGAACCCGGATCTCTTGCATTCCGTGCGAGCGTCCTGAGCCTTTAGACTACCGAGACCTTAGCAACACTCTTCGCAATAATCGACATATATAGAGAGAATTACGCATTACTTAGGCTGCGTATTATAAACAACGATTGACAGGATCTAACATTTTCAAACTAAACACATTGAAATCAGCGCCTTATAGATCACAGTAAGATGTTGAACTACTGATTTAATATTTTATTATATTGAAAATAATAATTCCTTTCTGCACAAATTATATATTTCTTTGTATATATGTGTACAAAAGAGCATACATTAAAATAAAAATTGCTTGTTATCACTATTGTAATGATTCATGCATTCATCCGCAAAAAATGCATTATCAAATTTTAGCAAATTTTTCTAACATTTTTCAATAGTGATAATTCAGTAAAAAATTATTGTAATGAATAATAACTCAAATTAAAGTTTAAACATTTTCCTTGTCAGCAAAAATAATCAAAATTGTATTGCAAAAAATGTTTTACAAAATGAGAAATTAAAGAAGCGTTTAAAAATGAAAAAAATTTCTTTTAATTATTGTTTTGTTCAGAAGAGTCGGCTTCCAGGTAATAAAAATGTAGGAGTTCTTAAACTCATCCATTTCAAATCCATACTTTAAACATTTTTCTAACAATTTTTTAAAAATAATTAAGTTATAGTGTTTTCAAAAAAATTTTTATTTGTGTAAAAATTGTTTAACTTGAAAATAAATGATTGTAGAAAGCTTTATTAAAAGAAAAATTAAAGTGTAAACTTTAAATTTTCAGTTTTTTTATTGTTTGAAATGTACTCTCTAAAAGTGAATCAATGATTTCAGTATTACACTTATAATTTATGTAATCATCTGTAAATATTTATTGTTTTTCAGTAAATATATTCACTGATTCATTTTTAAAAAGTACAATACTTATTGCAGTTAGGAAAAAGATTTTGTTTCTTTCCTCATAATATTGAATCAACGATCATTGATTTCATTAAATATGTAGAGAATAATTTAACGAGATAATGAGTTGAAATGTTTATTACGATGTTCTTCTAAATAATTTATGGAATTTACACATGATTAATCTGTGTCGGCTCATAATGGCATTTTCCTTTGTACACAATTAATATCATTTCAGCTTAAAATTCTCTATATTTATTTTTTATTTCTTCGTAATATGATAAAATGTAAATTATTCAATTTTGAGAAGAAATTAGATTTGAGGAAGAAGTGAATAACTCCTTGAAAAATTATTATAATGTTTTAAAAAATAATAAATAAAGTATTAAAAATAAAAATATGTTCTTCAAGAACACATGTAAATTTACTTTATATGTAAATAAAACTGCTATGTCATCTATTAAAAAATATTTCCTATCTCCTATTCCCTATATGCATTTCAAAATGACAGTTAATTAGTTTCAGCAACTTCTCATGGAAGATCCTGTACAATACAAAGTCATATAACAGAGCGTAAATTACTCAAATTACTCTTTTTCTATTTATTTTCTGACTTCTGTGGCGCAAATTCTCATGTAAATACTAGACTTACCCTATAATTTTCTGGTTGTTTAGATATTAAATGTTCCGCACTTATATATATTTTCCTACATTATGCTCTCTTATCGTTAGTAATAATATAATTGTATGTAATTAACGTAAGAAAATGATATAATTAGTATGGTAGTAATAGTATATATAGTTCTTACAGCAACATAATATACGACAGTGAATATTCCTTTCTCGTTGTGTCTTTGTGCTAGCAATCTTCTTAGCATATCTATATATTTGGTAAATATTGTTTCTCAAAACTCAGATATATATATTATTATTATTATTATTAGGCGTCAGGAACTCGAAAGCTCATTGCCGCAAATACCAAATCCCGCCACTGTTCC